GACTCATCTCGGTTCGGTTCGAAGAGAGATCTCACCCCTGTGTGTTTGTGTGCAACTATAATTCAAGCAAGTTTTCTTCCTGCACTGCGACCATTGGCAGTGTAAGTAAAGCTTTCTTTATACAACCAATACGCTTCCGTGCCTAACTCTATTCCATCGTGGAAAATACCCACCTGACGGTCCGGGCTACTGGCCATAGCCTTAGACCGCCCTTGGCTCCCGACAGTTCCAAGTTACAACATTTAGACTTAAGACCCAGTTTTCAGGAACCAATTGTGTCATAAGTCTGAGGACTGCCTGTACAATAGTTTTTTAGAAAATACAATAATTTGCACTTCCAATAAAATAATTGCATATTTAAGACCTGGCAACACCGAAGTGTAGCTAGACCCCGCTGTCCGAATGTGCACCTGTGCCGCCTGCCTGTGTGCGGCCCCACATGGCAGCAGCAGCACTGTAGGGGGCTGTGGAGGGGACAGGCAGCACAGGAGCAGATAAGGCAGGAAGCAGAAGGCAGAGCAGGGCATCAAGCAGGGAACACAGGCTAAGGAGCAGAAAGACCAGCTGATGGGCAGCAGAACAGGGGGGGAGGGCGTGGGGCTAATTTGTGGCACAATTGCCAAAAGGTTTGGCCCCCTCTGACCTAGAAAATGTATAGATCCTGCCCTCAGCCTAGGTACCCATAAGGGTGTGTACAGAAATGATCCATGCACCTGTTACAGAGCTGTAATTGAGAGCACTCAGCTTAAACCTCACTGCTTTACGGATCCTATTCACCCTAGGGAACCTACCTCCCTGTAGACTTTTCCCGTCCATTCTATATACCAGAGACCCTGTATACCCAGTCTGTCCTTCTTAAAAACCTACCTGATTCTAATTACCCTAGAGACTTTCAACTGTAACTACCTGGCCCACACAATCAGAACAGCTAACTCAAAACATTTTGGCAACAAATCAAGTTGTTTAACTCCAGTTGAAACAAAACAAATGTTGTTAGATTTTTTTCTGATGGGAAGTGACAAATATGGAAAGAAAAACAATCCGTTTTTTCTCAATTTCAGGTTTGTGAAAACTGCATTTCCCAAGACAATTGGAGAATTCCTGTCCTTTGACAACATTGAGGAAAAGATCAACCCCCCCCCCCAAAAAACAAAAAATGCATCAAATCGGACACTTCACAGTGGACAAAATTCTAACCTTGACCGCTATATTGACCGCTTCAGGGAAAGAATAAACAATTAAACAATCAACAACACACACCACCATAACAACCTCTCCCTCTCAGAGAGAAGGGCCATAGATTCTCTAAGATCTGACCACCAAATAATAATAAAAGCAGCAGATAAAGAAAGAACTAGTTATCCTTAACCATGAAGACTACATAAAAGAAGCCAACAGACAACTCTGATTAGCTACTGCAAAAAACTAGAGGAAGATCCTACTCCCCTTTTCACCTTAAAACTACCATTAAATCATTTCTATTTGAACTACAAGAAAATCAATAGAACTTGATCTTCCCACTACCCAACCTTTTTACATTCTCCTTAAAATCCACAAATGAGGGAACCTAGGCAGTCCTATCATACCCAACCATGGAACCTTAACTGATGAAATATCAGATTTCATTGAATCAATACTAAAACCTCTTGTCATCCAAAGAGCGAGTTTTGTCCAAGACATGATACAGACTTTCTACGAAAACTTAGACCATCTTCCCAGCAATACTCTCCTAGCCACCATGGACGTTACCAGATTATATACCAACATCTCACACCGGGACAGGGCCATCCCTAGAGGGGCCAGATTGGGGCGACCGCCCCGGGCCCCGTGCTTTGGGGAGGCCCTGCAGAGCCAGGCGGAGTGGCGATTCTGCACTGCCGCCAGCTTCATGTCCGGCTGCTCCTCCCCCCACACTGAATCTGCCACCTCCATCCGCTCGGCAACACCTCTTCCTCCCTCTGCCGCCAAATCTGCCGCCAGCTTCCTTGTGTCCGGGGGCGGGGCCCTGCACCCTGCTTGGGTCACCTCTGCACCAGTATGGTATCCAAACCTGCCTCACATATCTACAAGAACAAGATTACAACTCAGAGTACAGACCTAAAGATATTACTGAACTTAGACACTTCATCCTCACACACAACTTCACTTTCAATAACCAACACTTCCTCCAGACCAATTCCTAGGTGGCACCCCCGCATCAGAGGCAGTTTTGCAATTTTCTTCAATGATCTTCAGACATCAGTGCTACCTATTTACCTTGCCCTTCTACTAAGGGCTAAGAAATGGCTGCTGAGTTATTCTTCCCTTAGATCTGAGAGCAGAGAAGCTGCAAGGAGAGAAACTGGAGAGGATTCAGAGGCAAGTGATGAAAATGATAAAGAGGTTGGAATGCAAGCTGAATGAAAAAAGGTTGAGAGAACAAGGAATGTTTAGTTTGGAGAAAAGGAGATTAAGGGAGGACATGACAGCAACTCTTCAAATATTTGAAATAGTTGAAAGTCTGCCATAAAGAAGAAGAATGTCTGTTCTCCCTGGTTGCAGAGGTCAGGACACAAAGCAAAAGGCTTAAAGTGATGCAAAATAGATTTAGATTAAAAGTTAGAAAAAACTTTAGGTTAAGAAGAGAAGGCACTGGAATAAGCTGCCCAGAGCAGTCGTGGAATCTCCTTCCTTGGAGGTTTTCATTAGGTGGCTGGATAGGCATCTGTCTGAGATGGGGTAGGTAGAGTGCATCCTGCATTCTTGCAGGCGGGTTGGATTCTTGCAGTGGGGCAGGGACTTGTGAGTTCCCTTCTGCCCCTGTAATCCTATACCCATACTGCTCCTCTGGAGGCCAGGGACAGGATGCCACAGGGAAATCCTCCTCTCCCTCCTCTGGAGATCAGGAATGGATAGTGACATAAATGACACATGCCCCAGGAGGCTGGCGGGGCATGGTGACCGCCCACAGGCGACAGCAGTGGCGGCGGCAAGCGGGGACCTCCCTCAGGCAGCCACAGCGGTGTCGGTGGCAGGGCGGGCAGCGAGCACTGACCAACCATTGGGGAGCACCGACCAACAGTCAGCAACCGCCCACAGGCACCGCCGGCAGTGTCGGCAGCGCTTTTCGCAGGGGGTGCACTGCCAATCTCAGGGCGTGCACGTGCACCCACGTGCACCCCCCTATGTGTCGCCAATGGATGGTGATATACCATGTGATTGGGACACTGCTTAGGCGAGGGCAGCAGAGCCACACAGCTCAGGTCAGGTCAAGGGATGGGAGATCTGAACATGATGCAGCCCAAAACTGCCTCGTTAGCATTCAGCAATATTTGCCACCTAATTGGACAAATATACTGGATTATCCAGATGACCTCTCATTGGGATTCATCAGTGCTGGGGCTTTCTATTCAAGCTGCCATTTTGTCTTCCTACTGACCTGCAGGGCTGGGACTTCTACTGGAAAAATGGAAATACGTGCTGCAGTGTATCCTGAAACCCTTAAGGCACATCTAAATTGCTCCTGAGGGCAGCATGGAGAAATGCTCCCCACCCATATACTCCTGTTCTGCTCATGCCACACCTGAAAAGAAGGTTGGGAAGCTGTCTGTGGGTGCCCTCTTCCAACCCTCTGGGGCATAGTGAAAGCAAGAGGGACACATATCTGTACATAATCTCTCTGCCCTCTCTCTTTTGCTTGTATCATATGAGTTTCTAGAAGTGTCTCCTTCCTCCTATGAGTGTATTCAGTCCATGCAAAGTGCAGTTTCTGCCCACAAAGACCAAACCTACCAGCTTTTAGAATATTTTTTTCTAATAATAAGGACATGTAAAAGCAAAGGGAACCTTGATGGGACTCAAAACCACCTTTTGCAGAAAGGGAAACCTGAACTTCCTGAACCATCCAGCAAAGAGGTGCTTTACACAGCATTCCTCAGTGCTCTAAACTGGACCTGACCAGCTCATGCTCTGTAGATGCTGGTCTGGTGTGGCCAAAACTATCACAGCCTGCCCCCTTAGTTCTGTATGGATGGGGCAGTTGCTCTGCTCAGCAAGATACTTCCAGGGCAGTGCTTTCCCCCCATTGCTGTTGCATCTGATCTTTCCGCTGGTTCTAATCCAGTCCCGGGATTCAGGGTCTTCAGAAAACCAAGGTAGGGTAACAAAAGCAGCAGTTAGCAAAACCACGAGCCCAGAGATCTGTGTCCTAATACAGTGGTGCCCAGTCTTCTTCTCTGGTGGGCTAGCTGGGCAGTGCCTGATCCACCTGCAGGCCAGATCCGGTCAGTGGCCCTGATCCAGCACCCGGGGTGGCCATGGCAAGGCCTCACGTGGCTGCATGGAGGGAAGTGGGGGGTGGGGCAGCCTGGCTCTCATTCAGCTGCCCAGAGGGAAGGGGATGTGGTCTGGCCCTGATTCAGCCCCATGGGGGAAGGAGGCATGGCCCAGTCCCAACCTGGCCTCACAGGGAGAGGGGTTTTGGCCCAGCCCTGACTCAGCCATGCAGGGAGAAGGGGACCTGGACTGGCCCCACCCCAATTTGGTTGTGAGAGTGAAGCAGGTATGGGAATTTGGCAGTGGCGGAGGGTGGCAGTATTAAAGGCCACTGCTCCCCTACTGCCAAATTTCCCAACCCGTGGGGAGCCCCGCAGGCTAGAGGTTGAGCATCGCTGTCCTAGTGCAACTAGCAGCAGGGTCACAGCTAGATGTTATGACAGAACAAGGGGCATTTGTGTAAGGGTAGAGACAGCCTCACTGTCACAAGGGAGAGCACTGCCTGCCCAGTCCTTCTGAGCAGCTTCCTATGACCCCACATTTAACATTGAATTAGCCTCATCGCAGGTGGCCTCAGGCCTCAGAAGTGTATGGCATTTGTACTAGGTTATACAACTGTGACTCTAGTGCAGGGGTGTCCAACTGTTTTGAATGTGGGGCCGGATCACGAACTTTTTATCACCCAGTGGGTGGGTGAGCCATATTCAAAGACCTTACAGGAAGTGGTATCACATCAGGAAGTGATGTCACGTGACCTTTGGCACCAATGAAGTTGCAGGAAGTGGCAATGAAATGGGTCTGGAAATGTGGTTTAAAATCCAAAATAAAAACAATATAAAAGCAAGAATGAAATAATACCAAACACTTGACTAAAATAAACATTTTCGCTTCTACTCACTTCTCAATGAATGAAAGAAGCATAATGCAAGTCGACAGATCAAATGTGGAAAAGATATCAGCCAGAGCGGAAACTAATCAAAGCAACAAACTATGGGCATTTTTGAGAATAATCTTCAAGAAGATTTACTTTTATTGAATTAATAACTTGTTAGTAACACATCTTTAACAAGTAGTAACAAGTTGAACCCCCAATCCCACACAAAGAGAAACAGAAGCAAACACAATCCAAACACTGGGCAGTATTTTCACAGACCTTGCGCCTGCCCAGCCGGGTGCCATGCCCGGGTTGACATGGTGCTGCAGGAGCCGCTTGGCTACAACTGGGTTGACCTGGTGCTGGAGAAGCCATGGGGCCAGGCCAGGATTGACCTGGGGCCTGCCCGGCCTGCCAGTGCCATGCCCGGGTTGACATGGTGCTGCAGGACCTGCCTGGGCAGAACCGGGTCAGCATCAGCCAAGAAAAGCAGCATGCAGTTGAAGCCAGCTTCCCATGTGCTGCTGGGGATGGGAGGAGGCCGGCCAGGTCTGCACCAGCCAGCAGAAGTGGTGGCGGAGCCGTGTGCAGGCTTGTCCCGTCCCGAGCAGGGTAACAACCCCCAATGCACAGAGGGAAGGGGATGTCCCGCTGGGGGAACAACCCCCAATGGCCATGTAACCTGTGCCCTGCTCCAGCATTAGGGTGCTCTCTCCTCACTCACCCACCACGCCTTTTATGTAATCTTTGATTGGAATTAGGCTGCTTAATAGGTCCTAAAGCACCTCTAGAAAGGTCCCCAGTTCCTCTAGATGCCAGCTAGTTTTCCTAGGGTACCTGTTAGCCTTAAGGGCTAATTATGTGGCTTCCACCACCCCTTACACCATGCCCATACTTCACAGACGTTACCAATTAAGGACTTTGGTGGGCACTTGGACCCAACCCAATACCAGGCCACCTCAGGTCTTTATGCCCTTGTCAGGGCCTTAGCCTTCCTGGCATAAGCTCCTCTTTTCTTGCTGGTTCTGTTAGCCTAGGCCCACTATGCTGGGCCTGACTTCTGGGTCCCAGCCTAAATCTTGCCCTCACAGGTTGTGCCTTACTTGGGCTATAGGCCACTAGCCCTGGAGGGGTTAGATCAGGGCCATCTCCACCCTACCTTGGGCAATAAGCTCCCTCTGGCTCCATTTGGGCCCCTGGCCCTGGTCTAACTTCTGTTCAAGCTAGGCTTCAGCCTTCCCTTCTCTCTACGGTGGAATCTCCCCACTAGGCTTGCAGTCTTAGATCTCCCCAGACTCAGGTCTGAGTCCTAAATCAAGGCCCCTAGCAGGGCTCTAAACACTGGTGCCCTGCCACGGGCTAAGCCCCCAGACACCCCTCAGGAGCCCCAATGTGCAACCTTCTTTTTGCCCCACTCTGGCCTCAGCTCACTCCCCTTTCAGCCACTCCCAAGCCACCAGTTGAAACTAGAGGTGCACCAGCATATCGGTGCCATATCAGATTGGCACCAATAAAAAGAAAATGAACATTATCAGCTATCGGCTTTTTTGGCTGGTGTAGCCAATAGTGTACTGATAAAAACAATATACCTTGTGGCCAAGGCCCCCGGATGCCATGTGTGTGCATGCAGTAGCATGAGCTGCATGAGCAGGAGTGGTGAGCACTGACTGGGGTTGGTGACCACCTGAAGACGCCTCCGGCAGCAGTGGCAACAGCAGCTGTGGGGATCACAGACTGCCCACAAACGCTACCGGCAGTGTCGGCGGCAGGGTGGAGAGCGGCGACTGCCCGCAGGCGCTGCTGATTGTAGTGGGTGCACATGCACCCCCTACACGTCACCCCTGCTTTGGCTCAAACGCTGCCATCACCATTAAGCACTGGGACACTGATTCCCTGGATAAGCTGCCTGCAGCTCTATCCTGCTTCCTACCCCGGCATCCCATTCACTGCCCTGGCTGGGCAGTGCCCCCAGCTCCATCCCCTGTTTCTGTCCCACTCTCTGCCTCCCACAGACTTACCTGCAAGGTGCTGCTCTGCATGCTGCTGGGCTGTGCTCCTGTAAGTCAGCTATCGGATCGGCCAATATGCCTGGTTACCGGTATTGGCCAAGAAAATCTCTACTAGTGCACCCCTGTAGTTGAAACTGTAATCAAGGAGTGAGCCTTCTGGGAAACACAAACTAGGCCCCCTCTGGGTCTAAGGCTGCCTGCCTGCATAAAAAGCTTCCCCTTAACCCAGGTAATAGTCCCCTGTTTGCACCGTGTTTGCCTTCCACAAGATAGCGCCAGTGCCAGCTAAGAGAGCTACATTTTCCTTGCTCTGGAACTCTTGCTTCAGCAGCCTCCAGGGTCAGACTAACTCAGCACAGCACTGCACAGGCTGGGGACCCTTTATGGCCATTGTTCTGCAGAATAGCTGGTGGCACATTTGGATTTCCACCCTCCAGTCCCCAGTCAGCCGAAGTGGAGCCCCACCAAATCTGGGGTTCCGGAGAAGGCTACATGACAGTTATTCTCTGACTAAGTGGGTACAAAAAAGCTATAAGCTCAGGGTAAATTCATCCCACAGCATGGCATTGGGTTTAGACAGGCTCAGAGAGCATTCAGATGGTTTATACCATTGTTCCAGAACTGTGTTGGCTCACTAGTACTGTAGGCAGGGAGAACCCTAGAATGGCCCCAGCAGGGGAGGATCTAGCTTTGTCTCTAACTCTGCTCAGACCAGGTCTGAGGGGTCTCACCCATGTGGAAAATTCTTTGTATGGCACAATACTCAAAATACTGATTGTAATTCCGGTGGGTCTTCCTCCTGCTTCAGCAATAGAGATCAATTGCAGTGAACGGATAGTGTAGGCAGAGTCTCTGAGCAAGAGCTGCACAATTACCAGATCTCCTACTTATTACTTTTTATTAATCACTCTGACTTGACTTGGGCAGAACCAGAGTACAGTTTTTGCAGACCATAAAAAACAGTTTGTACCATATTGTGAAAATCTGCCATTGTAGCCAGGTGTGACTTTGGTCAGCTCTCATGATTTTATCACAAGTACATGATATTTACTGCTTTGTCTTAAAACCCCAGCTCCTGAAGTCCAATGATTATGTGAGAATCTCATTTTTCCCCTAAAAAAGCAGCAGTTTCTAGCCTGTGAACTTGTGAAGAAAAACATGATCCCCTAAAGGCTCAAAAACCAGAAGGCAAAGAAATGGACCCAACATTGCTTAACCAATCTCATGATTTTGGGGGGCCTAGCTCATTTTCTGAATGCTGAGGGTCCACAACAGCACTGCATCCTATGTCTGTGACTATCCTCATCTCAGCTGCTGCCCTTGCCATCAATTCATGCAGGTGCACTGATGCTGAGCTGTCTCTTATTCCACATGTGTTTGTGGCAATTGCTGGTGAGGTACAGCTCAGCATGGGTAGCAAAACTAAGTCCAGAGTGCAGATTATTCTCCAACATATCCGCCTATTATTTGAATGGATTAACTGACCAGTGAAGAAGGTGCTATGGTGATATATTGGTCACTAGTGTGATGTAGTTAGCTAGCAATGTGGTTGATTTGCCTTCTGCTAACATGCAGGTAACAGGCCTATGAGGAGCACTTAATCACCATTCGCAAAACAAAAACAGTCAAAGCAGAAGTGGGTGCTGTCCCTCAGAAGCAGGTGTGTCCTACCCCAGGTCCTCAGTTCTGAGCGCTTTGCTCTCCAGCATGACAGCTGTTCAGAGGGCTGCTTGTCTGAAAGGAAGCTAACTAACCCGTTTCCTTCAATCAATTTTTGGGTTCCTTTGAGACCTAATGATCAGAAAGGTTCTTTTTGCCCAGAGGTGGCTCTGGGCTGGAGTCTGGTGTGCCATTTGGCACAGCCCCTCCCTGGTCCTGGGTGATGGAACTGTCTGCGAGACTCCCCAGCAGTATTTCATTGATGTAGCTTAGCGTGGTGTTGCTGAAGACCGTATTGAGGTGATCCACACCATGCATCTCAAAGATATGCACTTTCTGCTTCTGTTGGCTCTGCCATCGCTTGCACAGCTCCATGCTGCGGGTGCTGACGGTATCATCCCCATCACCATAGATCATATCAATGGGATCCTCATATGGGAAGCGCCAATCATATATGTAGGTCTCCACTGTTGGGAAGCCAGTGCCATAGAGACAGTATACCGTCACACCGGGAGCGGGCAACCCTTTCAGGAGGTCCTTTGTGTCTTCCCACATGTACCAGCCATCCTCCAAGTTGACATCAGTGAAGTAACGCTTGTAATCCTGGTAGGTGTAGTTGAAGGATGGTGTGGAGATGAAGACATGTGTTTCAGGCCAGGCCAGGTTGGTTGGGAACATCCAGGGGCTGGTGGTGCTCATGCGCTGCTCCTCGCGCAGTTTAATATTGGTTATCAGTGGGATGCCTTGGTTATCTCCTGCAATTCATACAGGGACACATCAAGAAACAACACAGGCAAAATGAATGTTCCTTGTCCCAAGAATCCTAAAATGCTGTACAGAGTGTACATGCATGAACTGCTGCACCCAGCACCAGCATAAAGGCCCCTGTATGATGAGGCACAGCAGGTGCTCAGCAGATGCTCAGCAATGTTGCACAGGAATTCAGGGCAGATGAAGAGAAATATTGCATCATCTAAACCCTATTATCCAAATGGTGGAACACCCATCAGCACAGCCCTGCCCCGCCCCGCCCCGCCCCCAGCACCCTGTGGCATAGCATCAGCACAGACTCTGAAGGGATAGCACCACTTCCTGAGACACCCAAGCCACCCTCTGTAACACAGCATCCTCTAGCACTGTGATGATGAACTACTGGGGTCAACACTGACTGTGAGAGGACAGTTCTTACTGATCAGGGTTCGAATTACACTCCGACTCTTTGCGGGGATCTGCAGTGGTGGCAGCCAGAAGCTGGGAGGGGCCGCCACTGCCTCCTGAGCCCCCCCCCAAATCCCTGTACTTTGAACCCTGAATCTGAGTCATCCACAACACCCCCTGTAGTACAGCCCCTCTAATGCTACATTAAAATACTGGAGTAAGCACCAACTGTTAGGAGCAGCAGTCTCTACAATTGCCAATATTACTTCCAACAACCTCTCTGCTGCCTCTGCTCTTGCTTCTGCACATTCAACTACAAGTGTGCATGTGTGTGTTGCGGGGACAGAGAAGAAGGGAAGGGGAGAACAGCGTTTCTGCTGGAGGTGGTGATTGCCCCCAGGCCAATAAGGTCATGGTGGTCTCCTGAGTGGGACCCAGGTGATGGGGAAAACTCCCAGGAGAGCAGTTTGCAGACCCCCTGACCACCCTTAACCAGTCTCACAAAAAAGATGGGAATGGGGAGATGAATGTCAAGAGGGCATCACCCACCAGAGGCAAGGACACGCATGGACTTGACAGCTCCCCCCCACGGGGCACCTAGAGAAATAAAGCCTGCAATGTATCGGTCTTTCCAGGCCTGGGGCTGATGGAGCAGGAAGTAGAGGATGTTGATGTTCCCCAGGCTGTGTCCAATCAGGTAGACCCGATCCTGGTAAGTGTCATGCATCTCTTCGATCATTGCCTTCAGTTTCTGGAAGTACTCATCCTGCTGATCTGTAAAGGGAAAGGTACAGCAGTTCATGGTCACCATGTCTCCTGTCAAGGGAACCATGGCTTCCAGGACCCTATATATCAGCAATCTCACTAGCACCCAGCACAGAAAACCACATGCAAATGCCAAGTCTGGGCCACCTGGCTGGAGGGACAAGAAATAAATGCCACTGGAAGTACTCACACAGGGCCCTTACATGGGGCCCATCCTCCTCACAGGGTGCCCTTCCTCCCTGTAGATGATTATATCTTCTCTCATCCCCTGCTCTTCTCCAAACTACCTGTTCCTTGAACCAAGACTCCATCCTAGGCATGGGTCTCTCTATGAGGCAAACATGCAGCGGGCCCCTGCCTCCTCCCGTCCTGAATATCTGGGCTGAGGTTGAGGCTGGCCTTCACGCTGCACTTACGGGGCCCAAACCTCCAGTCATAGGGAGCTGCCCGCACCGTCTTGTCTCGCACGTAGCCATTGTTCACCAAGTGTTGCACAAGGGTGTGCATATAACCTAGAGAAAGAGAAAAAGAGAATAGAAGTTGGGGAAACTTAGGGAGAGGTGGCAGGGTGCATGGTCTCTTAGAGAGAGAGAGTTCATTCAGGGGCTTGGGGAACGTGTCCCTTCCCCTATTACCTGGTACCTGGTATCGTGGCTGTGAGCAGGTTCCTGTCTGGGCTACCCTGTGTCTGGGACCCTCCTATCAAAGGTACTGGCTGAGGTTATTCTGAAGATTGTACAGTGGGATGGAAAGCAGACCCCTCACACCATAGGTTACCTGTGCCTAGACATGTCACAGCCCTGTGTGGCTCTCTCCTCTCCAACAGGGGTGTTATGAAGCTCCTGCATCTTGACCCTCTACATCCCACCCTGGGTCAAGGAGATAAAGGGTTGAAATCCTTCCCAGGTGTACAAGGCTCCATGGAGTGTTCCATTTACCAGACCTAGTTGAATCCCATAGCTGTAGGCACTCCTGGCCTACCACAAGGATGCCAGGTGCAGAATTAACACCCTGGGGAGGCCCCTCCAGTCCATGGTGATGCCTTTCTTGGACTCCTTTCTACAAGGTCAAATCCCCTCACCTGCTACTTTGTTTTCATCCAGGTATTCCACAGAGTAGGTCTTGCCGAAGCCAGGGGCACGGATGTGTACACCAGGGGCGCTGGATATTTTCCGGGTGGTACGGTTGTACACCACTCTGCAGGGACAGGAGGGAAGATGGCAGAAGAACAAATCCACCATCATCAAGGCTCAGAGGGCAGCAACAGAGACTTCTTGGGCTTGTCTATGCTGTGAGTGCAATGTGTCCCAGGGAACATGGGGATGAGGACACCCCGCCCACCCAAGTTGTATGATGTATTCCAGAGTTGGAAGTTTGCCAGCCAAGCTGCGGCTGGACTCATTTCCAGTGCCCTTGTCCTGTGGCACCCCATCTCATTGTCCATGAATGTGGCTTCTATATCTGAGATAATAATTAGTCTATAAACAGGCCTTCATCTAGGAAGATCTTGGGCTGGGTCTGAGTGGTTCGCCCCTTGAACACCAGGAATGTCAAATCATGGTGCACCCCTTATTTATCCCTTAACCCCACATATCTAAGTATGAGTTTGATTTGAACTCTGCCTGACTCCTATATTTCTCTAATGCAAACTGAATAAGGCCGAGGACAGGCTCCCAGCTTCAGTAATGTAGCTGATGACATCATTATTATAGTAGAAAGAGCTGTCAAGGAAAAGGCAATCCAAGATCATGATGCCAAGCTGTGACAACCCCTAAACAGGTTTGGGGAAAAAAAGATTAGGTTAAATGCAGATAGGCTGAACCTGAAGCTTACTAAAATGCCCTACACTGGACATCTGTTTACTTTTGAAAGACTCCAGCCAGACTCAGAGAAACTAAGAGTGATAAGGATATTACTAAATTAAAGGGTGATTTGTGAGGATGGCCAAACACCTCTTCTCAGATACTGTGCATACCTTTCAAAAGCTTCAAATAGTTAACCCACAATGATAAAATATAGGAATGGTTGGTCATAGACCCAGGAACAAGAATTCAAATGAGTAAAAAAACCCATAAATGCCTGTGGTATCACTCCCATTAGAAGCAAAAGAAGCAGCAGCTATCTGCTAAAGGCACCACTTCTGCTGCAGAAACAGTATCTGTCTTTACTGAGGGCATGGATAACTTCAATACTATTGGTCATATTCAGCTCCATTGTAAAGTACTGACCCTTGCATATTGTTTCATTGCATTTCTGGTTGTTTAGTCTCCCAGGCAGAAAGAACAGAAGTGCTGTCCTGGGTCAGAGTAATGGTCTGTCTAGCCCAGTATTCTGTCTCTAACAATGGCAAAAATGGATACTACAGAAGCAGAGCATTATCCTGGATATCCCTAGAATGATTTATCCCTTGTTCAGTATGCTCCCTGGGATTTACTATTATTGGTTTAGAGATGGCAAAAGAAAAATCTCCAACCATTCTACTCCATAGCCATTAACAGATCCATCATCCAAGAATTTATCTAGTTGCTTTTTGAACCTGGATATGCTATCTGCCTCTACCACCTTCTGTGGCAATAAATTCCACAAGATAACTGCACATTGCCTTAAAAAATACTTTCTTTTGTTAGTTTAAAACCTGTAATCTACTAATTTCAGCAGGTGATCCCTAGTTCTAGTATTCTGGGACTTGGTGAACAACAGTTCCCTGTTCACTTGGTTTACACCCATCAAGACTTTATAGAACTCTTTCAGATCCCCCCTCAGCCTTCTTCTTTCTAAACTGAAGAGTCCTAGCCTCATTAGTCTCCCCTGCTAATGCAACTCCTCCATGCCCCTGATAATTTTGGTTGCCCTTCTCTGTACCTTTTTTATTTCTACTATATCCTTTTGGAGATGTGGGGGCCAGAACTGCACATAGGATTCAAGATGTGGGTGCACCTTGGATTTGTTCTTTGGGGTTTTTTTGGTTCTCTTCTAATGATGCCCAACATTTTATTGGCTTTTTTGGTTAACAGAGCACACTGAGATGTTTTTAGTGAACTATCTACAATGACACCAAAGTTTTTCCCTGAGTCATAACAGCTAGCTCAGAACCCAGTACAGGTTTCCCTCAATTTATGTGGGTTCTATTTATGTGAATTTGTTCTTATGCGATGACCCTTTATATACACGAAATTTGTTATATGCGAGGTAAATTCGCTCTTATGCGATCAGCCTAGGCGCGCTACCCCTCCCCGAAGCAGGTAAGTCTGTGAGGGGAGGGGACAGGGCTGTGAGTGGAGGGGAAGGGGAAGGGGAGGGGAAAGGGGTGAGGAGAGGGGAAAGAGCTGTCGGGTCAGAGCCCCACTCATCCCAGCCCCTGCTGCAACGGCCCTGGGAGTGGCCGAAGCCAGCTGCCTGCAGCTGCTGGGATGCACCGTGCCCCTAATCCCACAGCTCAGCACAGCCCAGTGGCTGCAAGCAGGCAGTGTCCACCATTCCCTGGGGCTGCAGCAGGGGTGAGTGGCAGCTTGCAGCAGGATGAGAGCAGGCTGGGCCTGGCAGCTGCACCGGGCTCTTCCCGGCGCTCAGGGTAGGCTGCAGCGATGGGAGGGGGGGCTGCTACCACCCCAAAATTCGCCATAGCCCCCCCCAGCACTGCCACTGAGCTCTGGGAAGAGCCCCAGCCTGCAGCAGCCACCAGCCCCAGCCTGCTCTCGTCTCACTGCAGGCTGCCACCTGCCCCTGCTGCAGCCCCAGGAATGGTGGACGCTGCTGGCTTGCAGCCTCTGGGCTGCACCACGCCGAGGGATTTGGGGAATGCTGCCCCAGGGAAAGCGGAGCTCTGGGTGGTTTGGGACACAGTGCAACCCAGTGGCCACAGGCAGTTGGCGCCAGCTGCTCCAGGGGCCGCTGCAGCAGGGGCTGTGGTGAGTGAGAAGTGGGGCAGTGGGGTGAGTGGGAAGAAGTGGGATGAGCGTGGCTGCCACCTGCCCCAAGTGCCGGGAAGAGCCCAGTGCCACCCCTGCTGCAGCTCCAGGAGCAGTAGATGCTGCCTGCTTGCAGCTGCTGGACTGCCCCACACATCTCTCCCTGCCCCTTCCCTAGCCCCAGCCTCACTCCCTCCCTCCCTCACCGCTGTGGGAACACATTCCTATCTGTTCCACTGTAAACTGGGTTCACTTTATGCAAATTCGATTTATATGCCTTTCTCCGGGAATGCATCTACTGCATAAATTGAGGGAAACCTGTACTGAGTATGTATAGTTGAGGTTATTTTACCCCAGATGCATTTACATTTGTCAGCATTGTCTGTGCCATTTATGGGCAGAGGCTGCCATTGCCAAAGCTCCCAGGGGTGGATCCAGAGGGGTGGGGAGTGCAGTGGTGCAGTTGCATCCCCCCTCTTTGACTCCTGCTCCACCCAAGCTTTAAAACCAAATGCCTGGGAGGGGCAGCAGCATTTCTATTCAGGCAGGGCTGAAGGAGTTAATTGACTTCATGGATCATTATCATCTCCCTGATTTCTGCTCATTTCTCTTCACTCCACAGCTGTTAATGACCCTCTATCCTTTCTAATGGTCTTGACCACTATTCAAAGGATCTTTTCTTCTGCAATTTTGTTGTTTGTTAGCCATTCCCAGTAATGTCTATCCTCTGTTTCACAGCCCTGCAGACTATTTTTAGCTCTAGCTAAAAACTGTAACTCAGATGTGGTAATTTTAAGTCAGGTGAGTGACAGTGAAATATTGGATGCGCTATCAAGATGCTCAGGGAGGCTAGATTTATGAATCTAAATAAGAGATATACATTTAACTATAATGACCACAGGACTAACGACACACTATCTCTTAACTGTTTTGACTTTTTCTGCCTAGTTTGTTGTGTTTCTTAAAACTTCATATATAATCTAGTATTATATATTAGAGACTCTCCCTCTGCTTGAAGAAGGGTGTTTGTACCCAAAAGCTTGCAAAGAAAAATGTTCCAGCTATTTAGTTGGTCTAATAAAAGATATCGCATTTACCCAAAGAACCTTGCCTGCATATATAATCTAGGAAAGTAGTGCACATCCAAAAGTTATATTTGTTTTTTCTTTGATCTTATACCCCTAGCATATCAGTAAAGTTTCTAGTTCCCCTTTAACCAGAGAAAAAGATGTGTCGTGTTATATGCAGTGTTGTGCCACACTATCTACACCTCCCTTTTCAAAAGCTTAGATCTGCCCATGACGGCTCCTACCTAGAGATGCCTACCTTAGGGATATCTCTATTCCTGCCTAGATTTGTGTCACATGCTCAATGCACACAGGGAATACTAATAAACTTCTGCCTTACTTGAGACAGCTGCTGTCCTAGGAGGTACTGCCTGCCAGGGCTTATTGACCCTGACTGAAGATGCATTCTCATTAGTATGGACTGGGCTTTGGGGTGCCATGTGAGCCCAGCAGTGTGAGCATAGAGAGGGCTTGATGGTGATAGATGGGGTTGAGGAAACTATTGAGTGGGGGCTGTGGGGATCTGTATTTCTAGGCCTCACTCGAAGTCCACTGCAGGTGACCCAAGGACTCTGGGTGTCCTGTGGTCTATAGGTCCAACTCAGATAGTAATGAGTAAAGAGAGAGGTCTCTGTTATGTCTTCTGGGGATTCCCCTGGAGAGCTCTGGGACAGAGTGGAGCTGGCGGGGTGGGGAATACAGGGCAAGTACCTGGTGTTGTCAATCCAGCAATCAAAGCCCAGTGGCAAGAACATGTTAAGGCTGATGTAGATAGGGAAGTAGTTGTCAGTTTTGCGGTAGCACATCCAGTTCACCACTTCTGGTTTGTCCAGCTTCGCCTCCAGCTGGTTCCCAAGGCATCCAGGCACTGCCAGGCACCCACAGACAGAGAGGAAATGGCCAGTCAAATCCCAGCTCCCAGTGCAGGAGGTTCCCACATTCTGCTATGTGGGGTGTGCATGGCTGCACTCACTGCACAGTAAACCTGAAGCACATGATTATGCAGGGAACACTTTCAGGGACTTAATGGAGCTTCCCTTAGGCTTCAGAAGAGTGGACAATGCCAGAAGATCTGAACCATCCCTACTGAAGTCATATTGCTGTAGAACTCTTGCTGGGACTCCATGGATCTACCCTGGAAGAGCAGGGGCTGCCCCATCCCTGCCTGAATGAGGCAGGGTTGAGTTCAGGCTAGGACTCCACTCCACTGGTTGTGTAGAGGCCCATGGATTACCCCAAACCTAGGGCTTGCCTGCACACAGGTTGCACCAGTGTAACTGCACCACAGCAGACACCAAATGTAGACATGTCTCTCTACAGTGGACCTCCTTGTCCAACTGCTCAGCAAAGGGAAGAGGCTCTGATTGTTCTCAACACTGCTCTCCAAACACCTTTTGTTCCCTTCTCATCTTCCTGAGTCAAGATCTAAAGTGGCACTGTGAATGGCACTTAGTGCCACATATGCATCTAACTTTAGTGGATAAGTACTAAGCTGCTCAGAGGTTAAGTTGGATTTGGGCTCGAGAGTTCTCCCACTTGGGTTGTCATTGACATTTGCCATTCACAGAACAAACCTCTTCCCCTTCAACTGGAGGAGATTAGCAGATGAGGCCTCCCAGGGAAGGCCCAGCCTTGATCCGCACTCTCCAGAAACTGGTCAAGGCACTCAGCCTGTGTTCTTTAGAAGCCTTTGGCCTAAGAGTGACATGCCAACATCTCACAGATACTACCTGGCTGCATTTGCAAAGAACTCTCTAACTGCCCCGGCATCCTTCGGCTCTCAGAGCTATGGGCCCATGAAGTACTGACTCACATGACTATCCAATTGCTCAGGAAACTGGGGAAGTGCCTGGCTTAGCCAGCTGGCAGTGTGGGTGTGAACATACCTGCATCCTATGCTTCTAAATAGACCCACACTTAAAGCCTGCAAGTGGGCAGGAGGAAAGGTGTCACTGATAACTCAGCTTGCATTAGCAGGCTAGGTGCTTCTCTGCCACTTCTGACAACCCCACTTCATGCCACAAGGGAAACAGCAGTAACATAAATTTTGCTGTGCTCTGTATGAGAACCCCGAGAGCCACTGTTGGGAAGTCCCTTGCATGCAGGCAGCCCCAGGAAGATTTTCTGGTTGCAATAGTACCATTTTAAACCCAATCAGCTGCCCATGCTCCAGAAGAACTCCCAAATCATGCCTGTGAGAATAGATTCTGGCCAGGGGAGACTGGAACCCAGAGAATGGAAATAATTTCTTCCTCCACCTCCCATCCCATTAATCAGTCAGGGGAAGAGCCCAGCTTCAAGTCTGCAGCCTTGAACCTAACCCCCATTTATGGGCATCATACTACTGACCCAACATCCAGTTTCTTTTCATGAGAGGCCCAGCCCTGGGGCTGCAGGGTTGAAGGATGTTGGCAGAACTGAAAGCAGGGCAGGCTTAGCCAAAAGCTATTGAGCTGGAGGCTTTTGGCAAGGGCTGAGATCTGGACTGGAGTTGCTAGAGACTGCATCTCGGCATGAGAAGCACAGTGGAGCTATGTGTGGACTGTGTGTAAAATATGTTGCTGCCTGTTCTGGATTCCTGCTAACACTCTCCGTCCTTCACTGTCCTAAGCACTTAAACCCCTCACACATGTAGGACGAGCACACTGTCACTTTAAAAAGGATACTAGATAATTATTAAGGGGATTCCTGGCTGGGACTGTAGAGGTTATCACTGAGCTCAAGGGCGTTGGGGATGTCGGAACTGCCAGTGCCCCTGACAGAGCAGGGAGGCAATCGGCCTTATTCATTGACAAGAAGAATAGGGAAGGCCTGGAGTCCAGAGCTTGGCCATGCACCCCCAGCATACAGCTAGCTATTTTAAAGGCTTGCTGCTGGCAAAGAATGGCTAGTACTGACACAGGGCTTCACTGCTGGCACAGACTGTCCTGGCAGGTTTGGGATGCTGAAGTAACAGGGTCATTTTGCAACAGGAGTCTAGGGACACTGAATCTGGCAGAGGAGGGCATGAGGTCAGAGACTTCTCTGGAATTGGTGAGAATCCAGTGCTCCAGACACTGTCAGTTCAAATCAGTTCAGCTCCAACCAGGCCCTACTTCTGCCCCTCCCTGGGCTGCCATTGGGGGTGATAGGGACAAAAGTAAAGTCTTTCCCATCTAGAGTGTGGCTGCCACAGGAAAGGCAATGCCCTAGGTGGCTTAGCCCACTGAGCACCCTGGGAGACCCTGGGGAACTGCTGGTCTGTGCCATAGGGAGGTAGTGGGTATGGGTGGGTTGGGTTTCCTGGCTCCATCAGCAAGCAAGGAATCCGGAGATGGCGCCTGAAGGTGAAGTGTTAGGGTGCAGATGCAGCTCTGGAGTTTGTGGGAGTCTCAAGTGGAGGGTCTGGAAAGCCACTGGGAAGGCTGTTAGGGATCAAAGGAGAAGCCAGTTCAGAAGGGGCAGGAGGGCAGTAGCCCTGGGAAGGCTCAGGTTAAGAGGTAGAGGGAAAGCAATGAGGGAGACCTGCCCTGTTCTTGACCCCTGGCTCAGATGAAGCCAGCTCACGGCATGGTACAGCTAGGACACATAGTCCTTCTGTGTTTTTACAAGTCTCCTGCTTGCCTGCCCAGCCCAGCTGGAGGGAGAGGCCATGTGCTAAAGGCACAAGAGATGCTGCCCTTTCTTAGTGATGTCCCTCTGCGTGTCTCCAGCAGTCAGTGTGTGCAGCCCCTTGGCTACTCAAATGATTTTTCCTCAGATTAAAAGACAATCCCTGCCTCGCTAGAGCCCCTGCAGGGAATTTCACCCAGCTTGGCCCAGCCCAGTGAGTCAGAGGAGGAGATGGCTAGGACTGCAGACATTTTAGTGTCAAGGGTATGGCTGAGGCGTAAAGGAAAGGTCCAAGGGGCATGGATGTGAACCAAGCCTCTGGGAAACGTGGGGCAAAAGCAATAAACATCTCCACATGGATGAAATGTTGGCACATCAGTGCACATGCCACAGACAGTTGGCCCCTGGGGGGAGATGAGATGGTCCTGAGGTGGGGCTGTGGGATACATGGTCATGGGTTGGTGTCTTTCTCCTTACACCCTGATTGCAGACTCAGATGGTTATCTCCACACCAACTCTAGCCCTGCTTTGCTGGGTTAGAGTTGGGAATCAGCAAACACAGGCCCTCCCTGCTGGGCATGTGGGCCAGACAAACAAGGCAAAGTCCAAAGGCCAGAGTGAGAACAAATAATGCAGCTGCTTCCAAGAGAAATGCCAACTCTGGCTCTTCAGGGTGACATGGTCATGCACATGCTGCTAAGTCTGGCTTCCTTGGAAGACCTAGGCAATGTTTTTTCCAGGCTGATGGATGAATGAAGCTATGGTTAAGAGAAGCACGTACCAAGAAAATTGAAGAGCAGCGATGTGGCATTTTTGTCACTGTGCATGGCATTACTGACCCAAGAACTGTATCCTGTGCCCAGTCACAGGGCCTGAACTTCAGAAAGGATAATGCAAACTTTAAAAAAGAGCTAGAAGAATGAGTAAAAACCAGAGAGCCTGTCTGCTGGGGAAGACTCCAGGGTCTCAGCTTATTCAGCTTGTCACAAAAAAGGCTAAGAGGGAACCTGAGTATGAAGTGTGAACAGATGATTTCTGTTAGCCAAGGGCCCTTAGTTTTATAGACAAAGTCAGAACAAAAGATTGATAAAACTCAAACTGGACAAATTGTGACTGAGATAAGGAGGGGCCCACTTCAGTTCATGCAGGGAGTTAATGCCCTAGACCTGTAGTATCCATAGCAGAGCTCTCTGTTGAGGCAGCTGGGGTTGCAGCTACTCCAATAACATTCCTGTGCAAGTCTGCCAGGCCTCCTTGTTCCCGAGGCTTTGTCTCTCTCCCTGAGTCTGTCCTAGATAATTCAGCTCCTTCAGCACCTCATGTTAGTGAAGAATCATAAATAGCACAAAATGAACTTGGTCAGTTGGAGAATTCATCTCCAGTTTGGCAGACCCCAATCTCCTCTATTTAGCCCTGCTGCCTTTCAGACAGAGTGTGCCAAATCTATGTGCTTGGCTGAGCTGTCTTAAATTGCCCTACCCTCTCACTAAAGCACAAAGCAGGAACGAACCCAGGAGCCCTGATAACCAGTAGTTTGCTGTTTCTAAGCAATAACTGGTTAACTTGCTGGCCAGGTAAGAATCAATTTCCCCTTCGGTGGCTGCTCTGCACGGGAGCTGTTGCTTACACCTTTGGCTCAAATGTAAGGTTGCTGGGGAAGGGGCATGATATCTGAGGTGGCAAACCCTGACTGTCTGTGTTGGAATTTCTGCTACTCTGAAGAGGAAACTTGTTGATTCAAGGCACAAAGTGCAAACTTTTCTTCAGAAGAGCTGGACAGTTAAACACAGACACAGAGTCTGTCAGGGATGAAAACAAAACAGCTGTTGTTCAGCCCTGTCAAGCAGATCATTTCCTTACAACATGCTGGCTGAGCTGAAGGGGTAGAGGTAGGATGGACCTGGTGGTAAGGGCAAGGCCTGGGATGCAGGAAGACAAGGATCGGTTCCCTGCTCCATTACTGGGCCCGCTTGGGCAAAGCACTTAGCTCTGTGTGTCAGCTCCCTGTCCCGCAACAGCCTTGGAGGGATAATGGAAGAAGGGGACGGGACAGTACTAGGTACAGGTCAGGAATAGGCACAAGTTAGCTACAGTGTGAATATGAGAAGGTGACAAACACACCCACAAGAAATCCTCCCAGTTCTTCCCAGCCCTGCAGAGCTATGTGAGGGGAAGTGATTCTCTTTGAGAAGCCCTGAATTAGCGAATGAAGCAAACCTTTATGAGAGTTGTTGTGACAGTTCTTGGCCTGTTCCATCTCCCCCCAAGCTTTAGATCAGGAGCTCCTGTGCTTGGCTGGGATGGGCAGCCTGCCCTGCTGTCCTTCCTACTGGGCCCTGGGCTCTGTGCATGCCAGCTGGCTCCACAGCCTCCGAGTCACAGTCATGTTTGCTGTTACATAGGCAGCATGCATGCAAGGGGGCTGTTGGGGTAAAAGCATGGAAGCTCCATGTCCATTACACATGCCCTCCCCTCCACGATTGCTTGGATTTCACTAGAACAGTCACGGCCACCTTTGATTTCTTCCCCTGCCCTGCCTATCCAATTGTAGTTAGTAGCTGGCAAGACACCTCAAGGCAGAGTCACTCAACTAAGTAAGCCCAGGTTTGCATCTCCTACCACCCTCCCCTCCACCCAGTGCACAACGCAGCCCCTCCCCTTGACCCCCAACTGGGAACCAGCGCCAGCCAGCACAGAATGAAACTGTGTAGAAGAGCATGGGGGTGTTGTGGCTTCAGGTGTGTGCATGACCTTACCTAGTATCACAGGTGGGGTGCTGTTGGAGGGGGTTGCCTGTGGAGTGTCGGTGGGTGGGAAGAGCACGTTGAGGAGCCAGAACGAGGCGGCAGGCTGCAGAAGAAGCAGCAGTGTGAATGATAGCAGCTGTGTCCTGACGCTTGTGCTCCCCATTGCAAGTCCAGCCAGGATTCCTCCAGAGCTTCCGAACAAACAACCTCTTATTTTACCAGGCCAGCAGGTCAGGCTAAAAATCAGCCAGAGGGAAGGGGAGGAGGGAGTAGGGAGATGGCTATGACGGGGAGGGAGCAAAAGGGGAGGGCAGAGTGACTGAGAAGGACCAGCTAAACTAATGATCCACCCCCTGCACACGCAGCCCTCAGTGCATCCTGGGTTCTCAGCAGCCCGTGAAAGAAGGCCCTGGTGTCTTTGGGCTCCTGCAAGTGGAGACCCCCAAGAATTGGGTGGGGGCTGCAGGGGAAAGCCCCCTGCCTCCCTACTGAGGTGGGCGGCTGCAATGCGGAGCTGGTTCATAATGTAACACATTGGCTGGCCTGGCGTATGGAATCATGGCTCCCTGCAGTGGCCAAACACAGCAACTGTCCACCTGGTCACATCTCAGGGCTGAAGGCCATCGTTCCTGCAGCTGTGTGGAGTTCAGTCAGTGACCAGGGATGTTAACAGCCTGCTGCTGATACCACTAACTCTGCTACCTCAAGTGACAGGTGGCTCTGGTGTCCAATGGAGAAGGTTGTTCCAGTCCCACATCTCTGGTTTTAGTTCTCTGTTTAAAATGCCTGAACAAACATTCCCTAAGAAAGAATTACATTTAAGACCTTATTGTGGCCTTCCATTGTGTCTGCATCACGCTAGTGTCTCTAACTACACACACAGGATGAGCCAGGCTCAGGAAGTAAAATGCAGTCTGAAAAATGCAGGCAATACGTCCCTACTCCGCAGGCCAGTTGTGAAGATAAAGACATTAGTGGGGTGAGGCACTCAGACACTACAGTGATGCGCTCAGTAAAGAAGCCCACACTGGCACAAATATTCTTTAGCCAGTCCAGAGACTGCATAGAGCCAATAAGGTGGGGGTTGCACATCAAATAATGAGAAAAAACATAACGAACAGCTGCCTCAGTCCATGAGCACTTTTTATCTGGTGCACTGAATGAGGCAGGGTCCTGTGGCAAACACAGCTAATGTTGGTGTAGTTAAACAAGGCATTGTAATGTAAACATAGTAGGGGACTGGATTCATAGTTTCATAGCAGCTAGGGTCAGGAGGGACCTGAACAGATCATCTAGCCTGACCCCCTGCCACAGGCAGGAATGAATGCTGGGTTCACAAGACCCCAGACAGGTGATCGTCCAACCTCCACTTGAATTTGCCCAAGGTAGGGGCGAGGACCACTTCCCTGGGAAGTTGGTTCCAGCTCCTAGCCGCCCTGACTGTGAAGTAGTTTTTTCGGATGTCCAATCTGTACCTCCTCTCCATCAACTTGTGCCCATTATTCCTTGTTATGCCAGCAGGGGCTAGGGGAAACAGCGTCTCCCCCAAACCCTTCTGGTTCCCCCTAGTGAGTTTATAGACGGTCACCAGGTCCCCCCTCAGCCTTCTCTTGTGGAGGCTGAATAGGTTCAAGTCCCGCAGTCTCTCACTGTAGGGTCTGCCCTGTTGTCCCCGGATCATGCGGGTGGCCCTCCTCTGGACCCTCTCCATGTTGTCCACATCCCTCCTGAAATGGGGCGCACAGAACTGGACACAATACTCCAGCTGCGGCCTGACCAGCGTCGCATAGAGGGGGAGGATCCCCTCCCTGGCTCTACTCGAGATGCACCTGTGGATGCCCGACAAGGTCCGGTTAGCCCTGCCAACCATGACCTCGCATTGTCGGCCCATGTTCCTCTCGGAGTCAATAATGACACCAAGATCCCTTTCCGCCTCCGTGCTCTCAAGTAGGGAGCTCCCCATCTTATAAGTGTGCTGCTGGTTCCTGCTACCCAAGTGCAGCACCCTGCACTTGTCCGTATTGAAACGCATCCTGTTCCTGTCTGCCCCCCCCTGTAACCTATCCAGATCCTTCTGCAATCTCTCTCTCCCTGCTAGCGTGCTCACCTCCCCCCAAATTTTGGTGTCATCAGCGAATTTAAACAGGTTGCTCTCCACCCCAACATCAAGATCGCTGATGAAGACATTGAACAGCGCAGGGCCCAGGACCGAGCCCTGAGGGACTCCACTACCCACCTCCCCCCAAGTCGAATATGATCCATCCCCCACCACCCTCTGAGTGCGACCCTTCAGCCAATCTGCAATCCATCTGACCGTGTAGGCATCTATGCCACAGTCGCCTAGTTTACTAATTAGGATGGGGTGAGAGACGGTGTCAAAGGCCTTGCTGAAGTCCAGAAAGACTACATCCACCGCGACCCCTGCATCCATGGCCTTTGTGACCTGATCATAAAAGGCAATCAGGTTGGTCTGACATGATCTCCCCCTAATAAATCCATGCTGATTGCCCCTGAGCATCATCTCGGATGCCGGCCCATCACAAATGTGCTCCTTGATGATCTTCTCAAAGAGCTTCCCCAGGATTGAGGTAAGACTGACGGGCCTATAATTGCCCGGGTCCTCCCTTTTCCCTTTTTTGAAGATGGGGACCACATTAGCTACCTTCCAATCGTCTGGCACCTGGCCCAAGCACCACGATCGCTCGTAGAGCCGTGCCAGGGGCCCTGCAATAACCCCAGCCAGCTCCCTCAGCACCCTGGGGTGGAGAGCATCCGGCCCCGCTGACTTGAACGCGTCCAGCCCCTCCAGAAGCTCTCTAACCCGGTCCTCCCCAACCTGAGGTCTGAAGGCGATCCCCTCGCGTCCGGCTTCTATCACAGCAGGGAAGTCCCGGTCCCTGCACAAGAAAACGGAGGTGAAGAATTGGTTAAAGAGGTCCGCTTTATCCTCTGACGCAACCACCAGATTGCCCCGCATATCCTGCAGGGGCCCCACATTACCCGGCGCCTTCTTCATCCTCCCAATATATTTGAAAAAGGACTTTTTGTTATCCTTAATCCTGGACGCTAATCCGAGCTCTATCTCCGCCTTGGATATTCAAGTTGCACAGAAAACCTCTGTCTCAGGCTTTGCAACCATAGTGCTCATTTCATAGTTTCATAGCAGCTAGGGTCAGGAGGGACCTGAACAGATCATCTAGCCTGACCCCCTGCCACAGGCAGGAATGAATGCTGGGTTCACAAGACCCCAGACAGGTGATCGTCCAACCTCCACTTGAATTTGCCCAAGGTAGGGGCGAGGACCACTTCCCTGGGAAGTTGGTTCCAGATTTTGGCCACCCTAACTGTAAAATATTGCCTTCTGATCTCTAACCTAAACCTATTCTCCATCAGCTTATGACCATTGTTCCTCGTCACCCCAGGTGGTGCTGGGGAGAAAAAGGCTCTGCCTATTTGCTGTTGATCTCCCCTGATGAGCTTGTAGGCAGCCACCAGGTCCCCCCTCACCCTCCTCTTGCTGAGGCTGAACAGGTTCAGGTCCTTCAGTCTCCCCTCGTAAGGCCTGTCCTGCTGCCCTCTCACCAAATGGGTGGCCCTCCTCTGAACCCTCTCCAGGCTGGCCACATCCCTTTTGAAGTGCGGTGCCCAGTACTGGATGCAGTACTCCAACTGCAGCCTACCAAAGTCGCATAGAGGGGGAGTATCACCTCTGGTTTCAAGCAGGCATTTCTGTGGAAACTGCAAGGAATATAAACTATAGCCTCTACATACTACATTGTATGTGTGTACATGTGTTTGTAGCATGCAGAGGCTTTCATTAGGACCTGGAAGCCTTGGTGCTGTTTGAAAACAGAGCGCCAGAGAGACTCACTTCCCAAAGAATTTTCAGTCTAAATTGGAACAAAACAGTGGTCCCATGTTCTCATAGAAAGATACCTCTTGCTTGGTGGTGAGCGCTGAAGGCAAAAAGGATCCATTTATCATCGGTGTCCAGAAATGTAGACCTGTGTAATAACTCAGTGGGAATAATATTAATAGCATAAATAGTGTATATTGATAAGCACTGTCTGATGAGCGGAGGGTGCAACAGTATGCTATGCTATTCATGCTGTGTTTCTTTCATCAAGTGATTTCATATTCCCTAGGTAGTAATCCCGAAATGAAACACTTTGTGATTAATAATTGAATGCTGTTCTGTCTCCACAGACACGTTTTCATAATCAGAAGGTAAAGGAGAATCATTCTGTCAGATTGGGCACACAAGTTATTTCAGGTATCTAGGACAGACGACACGTTGCCTGTGAAGCCGTTCAGATACAGCAGGCTTTTTGGTTACGTAAGACTATGGTGCAGTGGATAAGGTGCCTCACAAAGTTCGGACCATGGTGAGTCACTGAGAGCCTAATGTACGATGTTAGACTGAAAGCTCAGGATACAACTCACTCACAAAGGAATTCCCCTTTGTGAGTGTGCAGGGCCTTAAAGTCATAGACTACATAAACCCAGTTCCCTCAGCCGCTTCTCAGAAGTCATGTGCCCCAACCCCTGAACCATTTTCATTGCTCTCCACTGGACTCTCTCCAACTTGTCTACATCCTTTCTATAGTGGGGTCCCAAACCTGGATGCAATACTCCAGATGTGACCTCACCAGTGCTGAATAGAGGGGACTAATTACTACCCTCAATCTGCTGGCAATGCTCCTACTAATGCAGCTCAGTATGCTGTTAGCCTTCTTGGCAACAAGGGCACAATGCTGACTCATATCCATTTTATTGTCCATTGTAACCCCCAGGTCCTTTACTGCAGAGCTGCTGCTTAGCCAGTCAGTACCCGGGCTGTAGCGGTGCATGGAATTCTTCCATCCTAAGTGCAGGACGTTGCACTTGTCCTTGTTGAATCTCATGAGATTTTTTTTGGCCCAATCCTCCAATTTGTCTAGGTCAGTCCAAATCCTAGACCTACCCCTCTGCGTATCTACTACACTCCTCCATCTTGGTGTCACCTGTGAACTTGCTGAGGGTGCATTCTATGCCATCTTCCAGGTCACTGATGAAGACATTGAACAAAACCAGTCCCAGGACTGACCCCTGCGGCACTCCATTTGATACTGGCTGCCACCTAGACATTGAGCCATCGATTACTACCTGCTGAGCCTGACAATCCAGCCAGCTTTCCATCCACCTTAAAGTCTGTTAATCCAGTCAAAGTGTTGCACCTCACACTCCCTTCCTAGAGCTAGGAAATATGTAGTGAAGGCTCCTGATTAGTTTAGAGAAATCTGTGGGTTCATGCTTTAGCACAAATTTGCAGAAAGTGGAGGTGGGGGAGGAGTTCCCCAGCCCAATTACTCTGGGCAAAAGAGACAGAAAAGTGCAAAGGGGACCTGGAAACCTTAGAGCTGGCTGGTGGAGGAGGCTCCAGCTGCAGACACTGGAGTACAACATCCTCCATGAGGCTGTTTGACAAGTCTTTTTTCTCTCTACCTGCCCAGCTCATTTTTGGAACATAGAACCTTCCATTACGGTGGGTCACTAGGGACACTATTACATAGGGCTGAACAGGTTTCTTTCTTCAGGGGGTAAGCATGTCACAAAACATTGTTTGAATTTTGTGATCTTATTCCTTTTACAGGAGGCTCTTGCAAGCAGCTTGGGCATTTGTGCTTTTTCTAATCTTTCTCCTTGAATCAATCCTAAAGGTATTGCTCTAGGAAAACAGGGGATTGATGTATGTGCTGGGATACCAGGAAAAACGGGCTGTATGTTGTGATTATTTCTGTCCTAGGGCTGGTGCAAATGTTGCAAAGAAACAGTTTGCACTAAAAATATGTCTAGATTTCATGTCACCTATTTTTTCCTCCAACAGCATACATACCAGGTGGGCTCTGACCTGTGTTAATTCTTGGCAAAGGGCAACTGGATAAAATGGCTACAACATCTTCGCGCCACTACCTAAAATACTACATGCTGTTCTCCTTCCTCCTTGGGAGCCCAGTAAAGGAAACAGAGAAACTGGTTTGAAATTAGGAGCTTATTTTATTGGACCGAATTGCTTTTCTTTCTAATTGGACCCGATCCATTCAGTGCACATTGTTCAGAACTTGGGAGTGAGCTCTGGAGTCAGACTTTATTCACAATTCATTTCTTGCCAGCAAGAAAACACAGAGATAATAAATAGAAAGCTTATCATTGCAGGGGTGCCTGGAGGAAACAGACTAGACTGTGCACCTTATATGTGTGTACATGTGTTTGTGCGTGACACACACACACCCACCGCCACAAGCATGCACTCCCAGCTCCTGTTCCTAACCTGTTGAGTCACCAGAAGTGTGCGTGATACTGTGCAGACAGATAAGCAGTTGCCCCCCTCTGAATTGCCACTCAGACTGCACAAACAGGGTGGTTCTATATGAGGTGGGACGGGAAATGGTCAGGCACCCAGAAGCTCTGGAGGCCATGCATGTTTGGTGCAGGAAGCGCAGTCCATTGCCCCAAGAGTGCTCAGGCAGGGGCAGGGGGTGGGGGCATATAATGATCTCTATTTAAATTACATTAAAATAGACTATTTTAAAAAAAATATTTCTAATAGTTATAAAAACCCCCTCCCAAGCCAGAAGGGCAGAGGGGGCTGCTGGCTGCCTAGACACCAAGATGTGCCCAAAGCACCCACTGGACTGTGGGATTTTGAGCTTTCAGGGCATTGTCTGGCTTTTACAGAAAAAGAAGAGGGATGCATGCCTAGACTCATGCAGGACCTCTGTGTCTGGCATCATTACTACCTAGACTAGTATGTCTCCTCCCCCAGCTAGGCCAGGCTCTTCTCACCTAGCACCCTCTCTAGCAGGCAAGGCCCAGCAACAACTATGATGCTGACACCTGGTTGCTGCCAGCCACAGAGCAGAGGCCCTGTCCTACAGCACAGTTGGTTGGGTCCCCTGCCACACACACTGACAGCCTTCTTGTACTGCCAGTGCCCTCTTAAAGGGGCAGGTACTGCCATGCGGATTCCATCAGGTACTCCTTCCCTCCCTTGCTAGAAAGTGGTTTCACAGCTGCCCTTGATGGCAGAGAGTAGGGCTGATCTTGCTGAGAACCTTGGAATTGGTTCCCTGGCTGTGTGCAGAGGTGTGGAGGCTTTAGCAGTGCTCCAAGGGTACACGCTGTAAGCAGGATTTGGTTCTCCCACAGTACTTGCCATCTCCAAAGGAGTTGTGGGGACAAAGCCCCCAGCACAGAGACCAAGTAGAGGTGGCTTTATCTCCTATGTCCTGTAGCCACTAGGGCCAGGTCCAGTCTTGGAGCAGGGAAAGGCAACCCTGGGGGTTTGCCATAACCTGCACTCCAGCTGCTATGGTCTTTTGGGTGTTGTGGCTGCTGAAGGGAGCCTGAGTGTAGGATTATCCTGAACCTGCCTGGTGGTCACATGGGGTGGTTGGAGATGGCTCTGTTCCTGGTGGAGCAGCCCCTATACTGGGGGCATTCTCCAGGGTGCGGTGGAATCCCTTTGCATCCTTTCAGCCCTGAGGGAGCAAAATGACTCTGAAACGCAGGGGACGCGCAAGCCTGACTCTGGTGTTTGGCTATGATGGAGCAAGGAACACAGGCAGGCTTCTCACAGGAATGGGGTATTGCCTTCTACTTTTAAACCTTTGGTAACTGGCCTAGATTAACCCACACCTCAAGAGCAGAAGGAGTGGTCCCAGGGAAGTGTGCAGCTGCCCCTGAATCAGTCCCTAGAGGCTCACAGGCTGGGCTACCCAAGTCCGAGTGGGGAATGGATTCTGAATTCTACCTGAGCTCAGACTCCAGACCTATGGTTCAGGACTGGACAAGTATGGCCAGTGGCCCATGCATACTGAAATGTACCCTGCAGCAGCTGTGGTGTTTACTATGAGCCAGTGCCCTCAAAGTTGCCTCCTACTTGGCCAAGCTTGTCTGAGAGCAGACCTAGGGTTCCTGAAGGAGCTGAACACAGCCAGACACTGAGCTGAACATTCCTCCTGCCTTCGTCCCTTTGCAAATTCCAGCCTGTGTATGTGACAGTGAGTGCTGCTGCCTTCTGCCAAGCAGGGGGCATCAAAGCAACCTTTGCAGAGATCACAAGGGCTATACTTGCAGGAGTCTGTGAGCTGTCCCTAAACCAAGACTGCCTTGCCTACTGCCTAGAGAAGTACCTGAGCAGACCCCTTCCCCAATAGGCTGTACTGACAGATCCTGCCCCAGGAGATCACAGAGTAGCTGCACCAGGTTGGAGCGGGCTGGCAGCAGTGTGTAAAGACAGGGTCAGCCAAGCAGATGGTCCTGAACTCTGTACTGTGTTCTCGGTGCTGGGGTGCCAAGAGCTCAAAGTGTTTTCAGTGCAGGAATCCTAGGCAAAGGAAGGACAAGCAGGTGGAGCACGGTTTTCAGCCCAATGGAACTAGGAGAGCAGCTGCTCTAGGAGAGTACAAGAATGAAGAAATGGAGGAGAACAAGAACGGCGAAAGCATGATGTCTTGCAGTCCTGCATCTGCCGTGCCCCTGGCTTTGGGGCTGTTCTCAGTCACTTTCCTTCTCTCGCTCAGTCCCTTGATGATGGGTGATATATGTACAGCACTTAGATGACATGGCAGCAGTTGAACTGTCCCAGGGAAAGGAGGCTGTCCTTGGAGCTGGGCCTGATCTTGAAGGCCAGTGCCTTCTCACACAATGGGAACTGCATGATCCTGTCCCTCAGGCTCGCGCTCTTGTTCTTACCAGGATCAAGCTTTATCACATTGTCTACCATGGTTTCACTGCCCACAGTACCATCATTGTAGGAGCTCTCAGCTGAGTGCTTTGCCTGGTCTGAGGATCCCATCTCAGGGATACCATCAATTTTACTGGACTTGTCTTCCAGAGCTGATGTCCTAGTTAAAATGGCTTGGAGGCTTCCTCCATCCTGGACCCCACAGCTTCCAGTAGAGTTGGTGCCAAGGTCCTTGCTGCTCTGTGGGTAGATGATCTTTTCTGCTTTTTCAGAAAGCTCCTCAATGGTGCCACCATCCTCTATTTTTGTGGTGTTGTTGTTGTCCTCCTGCTTCCCTGACCTGTCTTCAACCTCATCCCTTTCCAGACCCTTTCCTTCAAATCCCAGTGGCTCAAAGTCATGCCTGCCTTTCCAGAGCTCACCATCCCCTTCTCCAGCTGTGGTACCCACCAGCAGTGGGTCACTGGTATTCTTCCCAAGGCCCAAGTTAAGATTGCTGCCTGTGACTTCCCAACCTGCATTTTGGCTTGCTGCCTCTTGTCTGGGTCCTTTCTTGTCCACTGGGCTTGCTGACTGCTGGAGAGGTTGGTATGGATCGTTAGACCCTGTGGCTGGTTCACAGAGGACTGGCTTTGTGGCCCTCGCAGGAGAGCCCTTGTCCCCCTTACTATAGACCATGGTGCCTCGGCAGAACAGTATGGAGACCTTGGAGGTCTGGAAATCTCTCATTTGCTCTTGGTTTAAGGAGGTGCTTTTCCTTTCTATTGTGTCAGGCTTTCCATCTTCCTCCTCCTCCTCCTCTTCCTCACAAATCTGCTGCAAAGCAGGGGTGCTCTTGGCAATGGGGGCATCAACCAGGGAGGGCTTGAGCAATGCTCTGACTGGCTGTTTATTTCCATGGAAACTGGCTGGAACTTCATCTCCATCCACTGTAGATAAGGAAGTGGACTTCCTTTCACTTTTCCCAGAATCCTTTCCAAATGCTTCCAAAGTGCTCTTAGTTGCTGGTTGGGGCTTAGGACTGGGGAAAGCTGCAAGACTGCTTGGTGTCTCCATAAAGGGTGAAAGGTCACTGCTGTTGCCCACAGTGCTGAATGTGTCCGACAAGTTGGTCCTGAAAGAGAGAGAGAGAGAGAGAAAATGGCCATGAGTCCATCACATGAGTGGAAGATGCTTTCTTGGGGAAACCCCTGAGGCTGAAATTCAAAAGGCAGCCTGGGGCAAAAAGGTGACCCTTGGTTCCACCTTGTCCATGGAGCTTGGACTGCTGGAGGCTGGAATTGCTCAACTCAGCCCACAAAGCCTTGCCCCTTGTTTCCTGGGGCAGGATGTGAGTTCGTAGCCCCTCTGCTGGAGATGGAGCAGCACATGCAGGGGAACTGTATCTGTGAGATACTTCTGGCACACAGGCAGCTTGGCCTGTTCCAGCTGTGACCCCAAAATCACAGCAGGACAACCATCTGGCTTTGGGATCCAAGAATCCTAAGCATAGCACTCACCTGTTCTGGACCTGCTGGGCCAGGTTGTAAACCAAGCTAAGGTTGTGGCTCTGCTTCTCCTGTTTCTCACGAAGGATCCGCTCTGCCAGGAGGAAGTAGGTGGCTGTGATGTGGTTGTAGCGATCAGCTTCCAAGGCCCTAGGGAGATGTGAGGCAAAGATGAGAGACTCGCATCCCAAAGAGGCAGAGATGCCTGTGGCACAGGGCACTGGGAACACACACTAGCACAATGTGGTGTACACAAAGCCTGCATGAGGCACAGGAACAAGCTCAAAGCACTGAGCTCCAGATACCAGACATAGCCTTGTAAACCCCACCTATAGGGACCCCCATTTCTGCTTCCCTGCCTATGGGAAACACCCCCCTCCTCAATCTCTTCAGGAGATTACAGGCACTGGGGAACCTCCAGCTTGTAGGATCCCCAACTCCATACCTCTTGGTGGGTTTCCCAGACCTACTTTCCCCCTATGGGAGATGCCTATAGGGAACGCTACCTCACTTCCCTTGCACACAGGAATCCCCAGTCTCATTTCAGCCCTGCAGGGAACGCCGCCCCCCCCCGCCACAGCCTTGTTCCTGTCACCTGCAGAGAACCCTATCCAACAACCCCACATGGCTCACCCAAAGGCTTGCTCCCCAGCTCCTCAGAGAATGGGAGGGAAGCATTGCAGGTGCCTGAGACTTTTTGCTCCCCTGGACATTGCTCATCATACCATGCAAACAGCTACTTTTCAGGTGCAGCCAAATGAATGCTACAGGAGGAGGATGAAAGTCTACTGCTCCACCCTGAGGTGACAGCCTAACCTTGAAACAGCCTGAAGTACAGCAGTTGTTTTGCCATGGCAGGGAAGTAGGTGCATTGACCCCAGTAGACACAGACACTCCCTACCCCATACTAGCCTACTGCGCACTCACTCCTGGATGGTGTCTCGATCAGCAATGTTCCCACACGTCATGGCCTGGATGATGATGTCATGCTCCTCTTCAGACACCCGCTTGTGGGATGTGAGGGGGAGCAAGGAGCGGCTGGCTGGGGAGGGGTCCACACCCTGCAGCCATGGGTGGGTTTCAATCTGCTCCAGTGAGGCGCGTTGCTTGGGATCCCGCTGCAACATCCTGGAAATCAGACTGCCAAAGAGGAAAAGAGGGAATGGTCACCAGGCAGCCCAGGAGGAATCAGCCCCAGGATGCTGCATAAAGCCACAGAAAGATTGGGAGCCAGATGAAAGCATCCTATCTGAGCCTCTGCATATGTGGGGAACCCACCAGGCTTTTGGTGGGTTGTTCCCATTGCTAAATGCTATCTTGGTTAGTTTACTTCTCTACACTTTACATGTATTCCCACAGCGCCTCAGACCCATTGTGCCAGCTGCTGTACAGACACAGACAGAGGGACAGGCCCTATCCCAGAAAGCAGCTGAAAGTCTTAATCTTACTTCCTATTGAGCCCTGTCAAGTGTTAGCTCCCAACTCTTGGCTCACTCCCAGGCAGCCCCACTGGGGTCTGCCTGCCCAGGGAAAGGGGGCTGTGTGTGGCATCAGGGAACACCCTGCCCCATGCTCTATATTTCACTGTGGATGTGGATGGTGGCTCTGTGATGGGGACCCTGGCTTCCTGGGGACCAGGCCTGGGGCTTCCAGACTGCCAATCTCTTTGAAAGCCAGGGAGAGGAGAGA